AAAAAGTCCAATTCGCATCCTGGAAAGTACATAATCAAAATCAAAATTTGATACTAGTCCTTATCAACTCGCAGGACAACAAATCTAGAACATACGAAAATATTTACAATAAATATTTATCATTTAAGTGGAAAGCTTGTAATCGATGGGTATAGAAATAACTTATAAGTAGTTTTTATCTCTGATGCCACTTGATTTCATGGCAATCCAATTGAGAGTTGAAATCCACAAAAGGAGTTATTTTTCAATGAATTTAAAATAAAAATAACGAACGAGCTAAAGTCAATGGTGAATCCAGCCTTAAGTTAGGACACGAATTACAATACAAATATACATATATTTATCTTTAAAAAAAAAGTAGACATTTTCAGGGACGGATACAGACTATAGCACGATGGAGTCCGTGCTTGGATCCGCCCCTGGCTATAGTTACAACTTTTTGGCTTGTTCGATTTTGAATTCTGAGCAATAGATTCACTTCCTTTAACCATAGATGAGACTGTATTAGGGTAAAACAACGAAAATTGAACTCAAATTCATCTTAGATCTTAAGAGTTACGAAGTGCATAAGAAAATTGAATGGCAATTTAAGCCCAATATCCTAGAAAATTAACCAATTTAATTAATGCCCTTTTAACTAATTAAATCATTTAAGAACATAATTAATATGTTATCAAATCCCCAAGCCCCTGAATACAATTAGAGGATCGCTTGCACTCTAACTTGTCGAAAACTCATCCCTCCCATGCCACAAAGAATATGTTATAATTTATGAACATGGGATACCGAGGAGAGAATGCGAGGCAGAAAAGATATACGATGTTACTTGTTTTTTCACCTTTTTTCGCTGCAAATTGGTTGGTTTGGTAGTTTAACGTAGGGGTGAATGCGGTTCAATTTGAATTGTTTGTACTATATTTACAATTCAAATCATTTTATGCAGTTTGAAATTTTTCCAAATCATTTTATTTTTCAAACCAAACCAATCCAAACTATAATTTGCGATTTGTTTTGGTTTTAATCCGTGGTTTACCTATTGATAT